GCACCCTCTCTTCCGCCCGTGGCCAGCCACCCCGCGTCAGCAGAGGAGAGCGCCGGAGGTTCGCGTGCCAGGTCGCCCGTGCAGTTCCCTCGTCCCGTCAGCAGCCTTCTGGACGACCTCCCTGTCGTTACCCCCCCACATGCCCTTCCCTCGGAAGTGAGGAGGATCGCTGACTTGGAAGCTGCGGGGCTCATTGACCTGGCAAGGGCGACAGGGAGGGCCGACAACACCCTCGCCCATATCATGGTTGCCCACGCCCGCTCGCTGTCCCCCCAGCTCGAGGAGGCATGGAAGACCTGGACAGCCGAGCATCGCGCGTCCTCCTTCCTCAAATCGGGAGCGCCAGGCGATCCCGGAGCATGGGCCGAAGCCAGCTGCAAGCAACTCCTCACGACCATCTCTGGCGACGCCATCCCCCAATCCGGACTCTTAGATGTCCAGTGGGGCGGCAGGCGCGCCTCCCTGGCCCAGCTGGCGAGCCACCTCCACAACCGACGGTGCCCAGCCACCTCCCGAGGCTCCGGCGCGGTCGACGAGTGGGACCAGCACCGGCTGCGCCACGACCCCCGAGCCAACGGGAAGGGACGTGATCCTGCCCGGTTTTGCCAGGATATCTTGCTTGGCTTCCTGGAGCCGAGTAATGGCAGCCTGCGTGGCCCGCAACTGGCCAGATTCAATCCAATCGGCACCAGAAGGCGGCCGGGCTCTCCCTTCGCCGCCGTCGTCGCCCCTGCCCAGAGCACTCCCGCTCCGCCCCTGGATCAGGACGCCGCGGGTTCCGGCGAGACCAACTTGCATGCGGGGGCACCTGCCGAGAGGCTGGCGCTGCCCCCTGCGCCCGCCCCACCCGCAATATGGGAACTCCGAGCGGGCTGGCAGTGGCCCCCCCCATTCGTGCGCGAGATAGCTGCGGGGCCCCAAGGCCCCGCCGAGAGGGGGCACGAGCGCGCGCGCAGAAATTCCAGGGAGGCCCCGCGCGCTGCCGCACGTCGGCAGGCCCCCCAACCCGCCCCTGTCGCCGCGGCCCCCCCAGCCGCCCAGCCCGAGTAGCTCCCTCCAGCGCGCCCTCGACGAGCCCCCGGAGCCAAGCCCAGAACGCGGGCTGGCGCAACGGGCAGAGCAGTCGTACGGAGGCGCGCCCGCCGAAGACGACGAGGAGCCCGTGCGCAAGACCCCCGCGCTTCCGAGCACCGCAGCCCGGCAGCTGCTGGGAGTGGCAGCGGGAGCGTCGCTTGGGGGAACGACCCCTCGTGGCGCCAGGCAGGGCCGCCCCGCCGAACTGCCGTCCCGCCCCGCGAGTGTGCCCCCCATTGGGATCGCGACGACCGGCTGTATTACAAACCGCGCCAGTCCATCTCCCGGCATCCCGACTGGAAGTACCACGCCCAGCGACAGGAGAACTGGCACGAAGTGGTCAACCGCCTGAAGAAGGAATGTGGCCCCATGTCAGCCATTGGCTGGAACGCCATCTGCGACCGCCGCAAAAGGCAGACAGGGTCCACCAGGGGCCCCGGCCGGCTGCCAGTCGAGTTCTGCCAGGATTTCGTCGCCCAGATCATCCAGGCCGACTTCGACATCCGCGCTCGCTGCTGGAGCATGCGTATCCACGTCGACTGGCAGGCGTCGTGGAAGCAGGAGATGGAGAAGAGGCAGCTGGCCAGTCAGGGCGGGAAATGCAAGGGGAACGGCCCCCCCCCCATGGCAGGGGCAAAAGGCCTGCTGACGCCACCTGGCCCAGCAACGACTGTGCCAGGCAGCGGTGCCCGCCCAGCGGCGCGAGGGCCTCCATGCCTGCAAAGCACGCCGTGGCAGCCACCCAGGCCGTGTTGTATGTGGTGCCGCATGCAGGTCTCGCTGAGGACCAGAAGAGCGGGCTGGATAAGCTGACATTGGCGCTCCAAGCCATGCAGCTGCGGGGGCAGGTGGGCAGAGGGGCCGCATCGGGGGCCCGCAGCGATCCAGGTGAGGCTGCCAGCGCCGTGGACGGAGACATGCGGCAATGCGCCGAGTGCGGCCGTGACCGATGGGGTCGGGCGGGGCTCTAAACGGAGCCGAAGCAACAAAGCAGCATCTGGCCATATGCGACCGGGGGCAGAGACGG